TTGTTAAGCTGGAGTTACCTTGTCCCTCCTCTCTCCCAGTCTGATTTAATTGTTATGTTTGAAGGCCATAATGTAAAATGAATGTCCTCCATGTTTAAGTCATGATAACATCCTCAGTTGTGGTGATCATCAGTTTAACTCCCTGTTTTCGTGTCCTCGTTGAACCACACTAACTTTACACTCCAAACTTGTTCCACTCTAAATAATTCCTTTAAATAGTTACATCTGGCATTTTAACATCAATAAGTTATTATAACCTCATTAGTTTTTAATTAATGCAAACAAATGACACCATTGCTGGGGAGACTGTTGGATTCTTTGCTGCTATTACATCATGTGTCTCCAGAGCGGCGAGTGGCGGCGTATTTGTTTTTGCACTTTAAAACAGGAACCATTTACTTTGCAAGTCATTCTAAGAATAGATAGTGGCTGTTACCAAGAGCTGTTATTTGCTCTTAACTTTATTCTACTTTTTTTTGCTCCTCAAAACAAATGAAGCGATAAAAACTATCAACGCTGTCCTTATTGCACGAGTTTTACTGCAGAGTTTAATGGAAATGCCCTAATTGTGATAAACAAACAAGTTGCTTATAAATGTACATTTTCTCCCCAAGATGCAATATTAGAATATTTTCATGAGAAAAACAGCTTGAGTGAATCTTGTTTTCTATTTGTGTTGTTTTAACTCTATTCAATCATTTTTTAATTCAAGTTAGAAGAAAGACCAGTTCATATCTTATCAAAACCATCATTTATGATAAAAATACATATTAAATATGTTATATCCTGCTTGACCATCAGTTGTTGTTTACAAGTTGAAGGATTTACTTTAACATTCAAGGATTGATTCATGACTCAACAAAAACACGTTTGTTGCTCTTTAATTTTGATCCGTTGAAGTTTTCTGACTTTGTGACCAAAACCTGGAAAAGAGGCAAAATGGATTATTAAATTAGTTTTCACTCTGATTTATTCAGCATTAAATCGTAACTGTTTTTGTCAGTGATTTATTAGTTTTGTTTGGCACAGAGAAAGTCAGAAAAACTGTTTGTGAAAATCATTCGGTTTATTTTAATTTGGGATCTATTATTTAAAACTAGTCAGTGAAGCTATGCATTAGTTAGTGGTTTAATCAGATTATTGGATTGTTACTACTGATGCATTCATGAGCGAGTAAGATTTTAATATTTCAGCTGGTTTATTGACTGTTTTCTACTTTAATCAAAAACCAAACACAACAAATAATGATGAAGGTCAGTGTGCTGCAGCGCGTCAATGCTTTTTTTAATCTTTGCCATGTATTAACCACACTGAGAAAAGCTTAAAGCTCATTTTTCAACATCAGGAATGTTTTGGTTTATTCCCATTTTTTGTGTATCACACCTTCAGTAAACAGCTCCTTAAATCAGATGCACTTGTTTTTGCCTTTTCACAACAAATGTAAAAAGGAGTTTAAATGAATAATACGTTTATCTCGTTGAGTAAAATCTTGATATGAAATGACTTGAATGAAGTATCTAAAATTACACTTCGCTACAGTGCTTGAGTGATGTAGTTATTTAAATTGCACCACTGTTTTTTCATCGTATCATTCAAACGTGTTGCATTCTGGATGTGCCTTTCGTGACATGGTGTCTTGGACGCCTGTGCGAGCTGGCCACGGTTATACAGTGAGTCATTACGTCATTCTAAGCGTTGACCATGTTGTCTGCCTCCAGATGACGGTGAAGAAGACGCTGTCAGAGTTCAGGCGCACGCATCACGACAACTGGCAGGAGCATCGACAGTGCTTCACTGACGACCAGCTGCTGGTGCTCACAGACCTGCTGGTGTCACCCTGTTACTACGCGTGAGGCGGCCGGCTGCCTCGCCACTTCCTCCACAGACTGACCGACCAGTGCTGTAGGGAAGTAATTACACCTTTCAACACTGTTGGGAACTCCTGCAGTCCTCAGTGCAGCCTGTTAGGATAATGTATGATAATCTTGCAGCGGCTGAGAGCCCCTGCCTGAGAAACATCACGTGTCACTGTTGGCCTTTAGTAAACCCAGCAGGAAAAAATGGATCCAAACATTGACTTTATTTGGTGTTTACTTTATCTCACCAAGCAGCTCAACAGCCCCAAAGGTGGCCACTTTACTTTAGCTATAACCACCATATTTAGGTGTATTTTATTATTCTATGATAGAATATATTCTTCATGTTATCGTATCTCTGATAACAGCATTTCACATTACTGTTCCTACTTCCAAGTCTTTTTTAAATCATACACTAAACGATCATCTAAGTATGTAGAGTAAATCTATAAAAATGTATTTTAAAATATTAAAAACTATAATGGTGTTAATGCACTGATCTCATTTAATAATATAAGACTTAATTTAAATATAAACTATGTAATTGATATGAATGTATGCAACATATATAAGCATAAAAACAACTATAATAACTATTTAAATATATAATGTGCTATAATATCATTTTACCAAAGAAATACAACCCACTGTGTTTTATTATACAGTAGCTCAACACTGAGAATTGACTGTTGTTTCCAGTTGAATAAATGAACTGCATCATTTGTAAAGTGACGTGTGTTTCATTCGAGAGGAAGAACGAGTGTGGCGTGTTGGCCGGGGTCGACCGATCATGTGAAACATCTGCCGTTTATCTGCGTACTTTCATGTCACAAACAGTTGCTGATTGTTTTCTGCACACAGAGAGAGGAAGATGTTTCTCTCCGACGTGATAAATTCAGGATTAAACAGACGGAGGTTAGAATGGCGAGCGATGACATTTACACAGAGCTGCAGAGTAAAGTTAATTTTATCCTTTGTAACTTCTACTGTTCGGCAACAGTTCTGATAATAGGTCAATAATTTAAGTCATTGCCAAAACAGCATTTAGCTTCTAGGGAGTAGTAGCGGATTTTCTTAGTCTTAAAAAAGCTCTACTTGTAATAAGTGCTCAGTGACTTTTACTATTACAGTTATTACTACACTACACTATTAATTCTGAATATCTGTGTATTCAGTATTAAAGTTTAGCATTACTCCAAACTGAATATCTTTGGATTCTTCTACTGTTGGTTGGACAAAAAAAAAAGAAAAATGAAAGGATGTCATCTGTGACTTTAGAAAACGGTGATAAGCAACTGTGATGCTTATCAGCGTTTCAGCTTCCTCTTTGTCTCAGACGTACGCGATACAAAGCCTTCTTCTCTTGTCCTGGAGCAGCACACACTCTCGCTGACCTTGTTCTGCACACGCCTTTGTCGCACGTCATGCAGACAATTCATGAACACAATGCACAATGTGTGATTGCAGTGATGACAAGAGGCCAATCTTCACCATCACAGCAGCACAACATTTAAAACAAGGACAACTGCTATTGTTGTGGATAATAGACGTTCAGCCACGGATTGGCCCACATCTTTTCATATCACTGTTTCTGACAATAATACATGAGACGATGGTTATAATACGAGAAAAATATAATTATAATAATTTGAAGAAAAACATATATAATGACAATAATATGTAGAATTTACCAGAAAAATTACATTAAGTGCTTAATAACTGTAACATACACTGTTTATAATACTACATAATACTTTTAAAATAACATTTTTAAGTACATATACAGCAACAGTAAGAATAATAGTTCATATTATGCTATCATATAATATTACCAAAGCAATACAAGCCATTGTGTTGTATTGTACTGCATCATTTGTAAAGTTACGTGTTTCATTTGAGAGGATGAACGAGTGTGGCATGTTATATGTTCGCTGTGGGTCACTGATAAAAAATACCTGAGGTTCATCCATGTCCACATGACAACTGTAACTGAGAGAGAGTTGTTTCTTTCTGTAGTGATGGTTTTTAGTTTTGTGCCAAACATTTGCTGCTCCAGACAATAAACACTGGTGACTGTGTGAGTGAGTGAGTGAGTGAGTGAGTGAGTGAGTGAGTGAGGAACGGGATCACAGATAGACCTGTCACCGTATTTCATTCTGCATGTTGATTTCTCTCTCTGACGCAGTGCTGTTGACTTTGATATGTTCACTGTGCCGAGACGCTGATGTGTTCACTGTGCTGAGACGTGCACTGGCAGAATGAGAAGTAGCTGATAGCTGATGCTGCAACACCGATAGGTACAGATACTGAGACAAGGTAAGTACAGTCTGGAATAAACAAGGTGCACTTGGGCACTTGATGTGATTAAAGCGCTATTTTTACAGCCGGTCTCTTCGAACGACTCTTTTTAGTTCCTGTTTTATTTTGAAGTAGCCTGTCTTTTGTGTGTATGGTTGTTTTACTTCCTGTCCCCTCCAGTATTTTTTCCTTCCATCGGCCACATGTCAATTTAAATATCATCACAGGTCAACATTTGTAGGTTTCCATTTAAGTCCTGAACTGTCACGTTTATGTTAATGACACCTTCCCTGAAGTTTGCTTTCCACGAGGAAGAGAGATTATAAACAAAAACTGGATTGTCCCGTTTATGGTAATTATGACCTCCAGCCTGCAGCTAACGTCGCCATCATCAAAGCCATTTGACTTTTCTTGTTAGATGCTCTCAAAACTACATTTAAGTGACAAACTATTATAAAGTGAAATGATCTTCACCCAAAGTTGGCAGCAGTTGTGTTTTTCTCTGCAGTTTTCCTCTTGAGATCTTCTTGCTGGTTTGACTACATGACTCAGTTGGACAGGGAGAAAAAAAGCTGCGGTGACGTACATGTGTGACAAATCAACTGATGGAGTTGCCCCCACACAGCCCTGGTGAAGCGATTAGCTTTAAAACACTCATGTGTATTGTTTTTTTCACAGTGGCTCTCTGGTGTTATAGACAAATAATCAACAACTGAGGGAAAAGGGTTTTTTAAATCTTTAAATGCACCTATTGGGAATTATGTGACAGCAATGCAGACACACTTCACGTGATTATACTTTAAAATGCATAAAACCAGAACAAAAGTATCTGAATTCAGTTTTCGGAATATTTATTATTTATTCCATTAAAACATTCCTGCTTTGTGTTGTTGAATATTGAACATTGAGTAAACAGACACGTTTATACGAAGCATATTTGTGATCAATCAACAATCAAATGCTTTGTTTTGACATTTGTCGAACTTTGAAACTACTGTCAACAAACATTAATACATTTTTTGCGTAGAGTGTGTAACTCAGAGTTAGTGTAGAGTTTTTAATGCATGTAATAATAATAATAATAACTTGGGTTTGTATAGCGCCTTTCAGGGTACCCAAGGCGCTTCACAGAGAGAAAATACAATAATAATGTGACATTTCTTTGCAGTGTGACATTGAAAGGAATAAGAACAAGACTTTGTCAACATGTTTTCTGAACCCCACAAACATCCTGATTGGCCCCAAGTGCATCATAAACCCTGAGTTTATTTGCTAAATCCATCTTTAAATTCACAACTGAGCAGGACATGTTTTTAATCTAATTATTAATCTAAATTAACCTGCGTGAGTGTGTGTTACTTCCCGTTTTGTATTCTCTCTCTCACTAGGGTTTCCAGAGAAAACAGGTGCTCATCTGAATCCTCAGGCAGAATTGTCCTCACAGCGTTGGCAAGCTTAAAAAGGTACTCAGAGTTTTGCCCGCTCGGACCCGTGGAGCTGACGATCTGGTTGGCTATAACCTCCAGAGGGGCGGGGCCGAGGTAATCGGGATTGTCCTGAGAGCCGATGTAGAGCAGCGTCTGGTTGGGAGGGGGAGTGAGGGGTGGACGGGGGTGAAAGGTCACCGTGATGACCTGGTAGCCACCTTTTTCTCGGTAGTCGAGGTAGCGCTTCACTTCTTCCTCTTGGCCCGTCGGCAGTTTGTAGGCGACGCCCCACACACAACCCTGAGGGGAGAAAAGAGTAAAGAATGAAAACCGGTTTAACATCGGAAAAAAGTGATGACTGTTCGATTGATAGAATTTGTATTCAATAATGATAATAACTGAACTCAACCGAACAGATAACGGTGTACATGGTAAAAACCAATGGGCATTTAAAGTTTCTCAGTAGTAAGAAAGACATGGAAAGACTCTGTAGACCTCATTTCAGTCTACACGGCCCAGGAAGACTTGTGGGCTGGGTAGTGCGTGTCCCACGAAGGGGGTGGCCTTAATAATCGGGACATGACGAGGACTTCAACAAGTAACATCTGCTTAATTAATGAACAACTGATAATTGAAGCTCTATAACAATGGTACTATTAAGGTTTACCTCAGGGTCCTCCACCAGTGTTACGACGCGGCCAGGCTGTAAAACACAAACACAGGAGCAAAAATACTGAAGCAAAATTTAATTAAAATAATCAATAAATGTAGAAAAAACAAGTGACAAAGAAAAGAGGAAAACTTTATAACTGTTAATAGACAATGGGGGTGACAGGAGGGAATAACACAAGATGTGTACTGTAATGTTTAACCTATATAAATCCTCACAATAGTAATAACATCACTATATTACTCAAATATTCGAATGGTGCTGACACTGACACTTTTAATTCAAATTCTGTTCATTGATTATACTCCCTTAATATTTACACACTCAACGACCTTTGAGTCATTTCTTGTGTTATTCAGTACCGGTCGGTGGTACGTACCGTAAATGTGTAACTGAGCTCTCTCGTACATGTTCGAGTCCCAAATTCACAACGTCCACAGATCAACGAGGTGAGTTCGCTTACCTTTCCCGGTACTCCCCGGTGGTCGGTGCTCCCCTGCCAGAACCGGCGGCTGAAGCCTCGAATGAAGCCGATCTTCTTCTCTTCATAGGGGAAGTCCACCTTCCAGATCAGGGAGCCGTAACCGAACACCCACATGACGGGACCTGGAGCCGGAGACGACCCGGTAGAGGATAGCCGGAGGCGGGTAGGAGGGCGGGAGGAGACGTCTTCAGCCCGGAGGTGAGTTCACTTCACACCGCGGGTCACAGCATCTCCGCCGGGGACGTGTTTAACATGTAACCAGAGCAGGTGATCACTGGATGAATGTGTGACCGCTTCAACATGGTGCTAACATGATGCTAACATGATGCTAACGGAGCTATTATACGTTTACAACATACAACACTGTCAAGACACGTGCACTGCGTCAGCACTTCCGCTCCATGACTTTCAGAATATACTCTACTTCCGGACAAATAAGTACATTTTAACTAGGAAGGGTTGTTCTCCAAAATAAAACTTGTAAAAATGTTACTTCTTTACAGCACATTGTATTTGTAGCAACAATGAAATATGATTTAAAAAACTATAATATGATAATAATAATGTAAAAAATACATTATTAATAACAGTAAAACATGATGCCAATAATGATGTTAACAATAATGACAATAGGGGAAATTATGAAGCTAAAAATGATAATTATAACAATAATAAAATGCTTTTTTGCCACAGTAATATAACGATGATATTAATAATAATAATATTGTTAGTAACAACAACACTGTTAATAATAACAGTAAAACATGATGCCAATTATCATATTTACAATATTAACCATAAGGAAAATTATGGTCCTCATAATACACCACATCACATTTTATAATGATGATGATGATAGTAATAACACAGTATTATCATAATAATAACACATATATCACTATGGTTGGTTTTATTGTCTTTTATACTTTTAGGTTTTAACATTTTTGTTTTAGTTTGCAGCAGACCTTGAAATCCTTATAAACCCACAGACATGTATGAAGAATATTTTGCCAAAATATCTTTTACCTCTGATGTTTCTATGTAAAGCAGAAACGCTTTGACTGCTCTCTCCAGCCTCTTGAAGTTCCATTCACTAGAAGCCTCATTTAGGTCTCAGAAATGGTTTAATTCTCATTCTAATGAGCTAAATGATGTCTTAATTAAACTAAGCCCCTATATCTTCCTGAAGGCCACCTTTGAAATGCAGCCATTAATTGACTTTCAATGAACGTCTAATTGTGTGTTTTTGTTTGTCGGAATGAACTGGGACAGATAACAGAGGGAATATGGGTTTTCCATCTTGACACCAGGGGGTGCTGAGTTTCTGTTTCCCCTGCAGTACATCATTGTGTCTCTCCCTCCCAAATAACGAGCTCTTCATTAATGCAACGTGAGCACTGATACGGATCCAAATCAAGTGGACGACATCAGCCAACTACTCATTCCTCTGCCTCTGAGAGAAGCCAAGAAACATTTTCATGTAATTTAACCAACCTCAAGTGTGAAGAGGCAGATCTGTGGTTAACATCCACAGCTTGACTGAGGGACACATCTGCCATAAAGGCGCCATCATTAAAACACATCCAAACCTCACCTGCTGTGGTGGAGTCGTCACTGGCCATCTGCAGAGTATCACGTCTTAGGTGTGAAGTAAAAATAAAAATAGAAAAACATTCACTTTCAATGCTCTTGAAATCATAGGCCACCAACGTAAAAACATGTCCTTACTTATTTACCCTCTTGTGCTTTGCTTAAATTACTGTTACAACACTTCCTGTAATTTAAAGCAGGTTGTTAGGGTTATTTAAAGCAGCAGTTTCAACTACTTTATGTTCCCTATGGTGAAAATAATGAGCTATTTATATCAAGTATAACCTTCTAGAGTGGCTCAGAGAAGCACTTACTGATGTGGACAACAAATCTTTCCCCAAATACCCTAAATCTATTATAATTGTTATTTCATTCATATGTGAACAAACACCACAAAACGTTGTACAAGCTGTACCACAGGCTTATATTTTTGTGCAGTATTTGTCCCCGACTGGTACACATTACCCTAGCAATACTTTATTGTGTTGCTTTCTGACATATAGTTCATTATAGAGACGAACAGCATAGAAATGTAATGAAAATGTAAACTGCCTGTTTGTTTTTTTCGATGAGTGATATGTTTTATTTGCTCTGCTCTGAGGAAAACGTGCAGGATGTTTGCGTCTATGTGTATTTGTTAACTCTTGTCTGGAAGGTGGGAGACAAACATCTTACAGTAAATATGAAGAAAACTCCAGGGGGTTGAATGTGAATAGAATTTCGAGGCAAACGTTCTGTTCTTCTATCTGCATTTGTACAAAGTAGTGCAGTGCTCCTTCTAAACCTGCCTGTTCTCTTGTGTTAATGCTCCGGAGCTACTTCAGAATCATTCCTTGTCATTAGTGAGAACTTCTCAAACAGTTCCACAATATACTGTCACTTTTTTATAGTTTGTGTGTTGAACGTTGTGTACAGAGCTTTTTATCAACAGTCAATGGTGCAGAGTGAAGTTTAAAAAACATTGTGTTCATTCTATCTGGTTTATCTGCAGTGAAGATCAATGTTTTTATAAAATTAAACTGAATTTCCTCCATTACAGTTCACACATATTATATATAAGTATGAAAGATTGACTTAATGTTGTTTTTTATTTCATACATGTTGGCTATTTCAGAGGTGTGTAAAGCAATCGATACAATCTTTAGACCTGGGTTCATGACGGAGTTCATGACTGTGTAAGAAATACAAATAATCAGATGCTATAATATATACAGCATTATATATATATAAATAATTGATCATAAAGTCATGAAAAAATTTCATACATTAGTTAAATCTACTGTAATTCACCGTTTATTGTTGATGTAATCAAAAGAGTTGCTCTACTAACACATCATTAATGCTGTTATGCACAGGTGGCTCTGCTCTCGTGTCTGTCTCCATCTGTTTTTCTCTATACGTGTTCCATTAGATTCACTTTATTCTCTCAGGCCCTCTTCCTCCCTGACAAGCACATCCTTTCATTTTCGCTCTCTTTTCCCTGCGCTCCACCTCTTTTTATGTTCCTTCTCCAACTCCAGAGCCGTTCCTAAACCTTATTTTTCTCCTCCTGCAGAGCTCTTCTGTTTATTCATTAGGGAGGTGACCAAGATAGAGCTTTACTCCACCACTTTCCTCTATAGTTTGTTTCATTTTTCCATTTGTACCTGCTCCCTTTCATTTATGAAAGTCCCAACAGCATCTCATTTGGTGTCTCTTCCACCGATTTCACACATCAAACCTTGTTTAAGGTTTGTGGTTTCACTTTGTACTGTTAATTATAAAATACAGATCATGTTCTGTTACATAAACACAAGAGTGTAATGTAGTTGCATTGCAAGATTTGGTATTTTGTTTTAACTGTATTTTCAAAGAACGTTTTACTGATCCACTCAGTCAGCTTGAGAGCTGACAACATTAAGTTAAGTTCTTTATTCAATTTCTAAAATCAACCAGTCCTATGTCTATTTTGTTGCCTCATGTAGATTATCTAAAATGTACAAATCCAGAGAAATCTATAATTTACTCCAAGTAATAAGATGTTTCACTTTTTTCACACATGTTGTCATATTCGCTTTACCTGTGGCTTTTTTTTAATCTCTGCAATAACTTCCGGGGCAAACAACGTACGATAAATGGAAAACACGGTGCTAACCAGTTGGCTAGTTTTTCCTTCCACTGTTTATATTGGTCACTCATAATGGGTCTTGATAATTCACAGCCATGTTTGCTGGGTAACGTAAATAAAACTTTAATACATTACCTCATCCTGAGTCATGTCAGGAAGATTTTCAATGGGCAATGGTGGTGAAGACAACAAATCCCAGGATCCCACATTGCTTCACAACTTTATCAAACTATTGTCTAGTTATGGTTTTAATTGCAAGACCTGTGGCGGCAGAATATATATATTTTATGTTTAAGATTGATTCAAAATCAGGTAATCCAGCCTCTGCTACCTTGATCTTTTTTAAGCAAGTCCCCTTACTTAGTGATACCAAATTGCTGCAGTGTCCCTTTAAGTTGAGTGACACAGTGTCATATTTGTTCTCGCTGCTCTGAGTGGATTTTCTTGATAATATCAAATATGTTGGAGATTTTTCAAATAGTTAGTGCCAGGACCTTATTCTCTATAAGTCAGTTACATGGTGCTTCACTGAATGGAGCCTTCAACACCCAGGATTTTCTTTCAGACTGAAGTGTATGTGAGAGGTTATGTTGAACTCGGGCCAACTTCAGTCAATTCAGTCCTTGTTATTGCTCGGAGTGAGCGACACCCTGCTGCTGCTGCTTCTCTTTCAGCCCATCCTTACAAACATGTTGACATCATCTCTACCTCCCTCACCTCTCTGCCTCCCTCTGGTCGAGCTTTGAAAAGAGATTTCTTCAGATGGTGGAACTTGTTTTTTTCTCCCACCATCCACCTGCATCATCTGACTAACCTCCAATATGTAGTTGTTCTCTTGCAGGGACTGAGGTCCACAAAACCCATCTAAAGGTCTCCTCCGTATTGACTCGTTCCTGCAGCAGTGGTTTCACACACACACGGGCAAAAACAGCTCTTGAACCTCTGACTCAATCTCAGCCACGGTGAGGAATTGTCCAGCTGAGCCATAAAGGTCCACCATGTGTAGAGAGCAGAGCAGAGTGGGCCATTTTGGGCTCAGACTGCTTGATCCTGAACTGCTCATATGACTCTGGAGATTTCTCCCAGGAGACTCACACACAGGCTTTGTGAAAGCTGCCACATATATCACCACTGTTGCTCTGGCCCAGAAATGTGATTGTATTCTGGTGTAAAATAAAAAAACTCAGAATGATAATAATGCAGGGCTGTAAGATAAAAAAGAACATTATTAGCAGGTCAGTATTATCTGTTTTGACCAAGTTTAAACACTGAGACTGCAAAACTAAATGTCCCAGCAGCACAAGCACTGACAAATTAGAATAATAGGATGAGTGGGGAATCATGTTCACTTTGCCATGACTGATATTCTTCCTCGGTCTTCAAACATTGTTGGTGTAATAATAGAAATTATGATCAAAGTTCCATAGATGATTAACGCTGTGTTCGCTTTTTTCTTATCAGCTACAGAAGCCAAACATTTTTTAGCAATGGGATGATAGGAGCTTCTGTTAAAACACATTTTCACAATTTGATTATTTCTGAAAAAAACCCAAACATAATTTGTGAGAGGTCTTTTAACTGTGACATTTAAACGGATGTATGGAGAAAAAATAAGTTTTAATACACAAATTATATTTCTGATAATTTTAATTTGTTTTATACTACATGAT